AGTGTACCAAAGATTGCATAGTGCAGTGGTTCTCAACCTTCCTAATGCAGAGACCCTTTAATACAGTTCCTCATGTTGTGGTGACCCCCAACCATAAAATTATTTTCGTTGCTACTTCATAACTAATTTTGCTACTGTTATGAATCGTAATGTAAATATCTGATATGCAGGATGTATTTTCATTGTTACAAATTGAACATAATTAAAGCATAGTGATTAATCACAAAAACAATATGTAATTATATATGTGTTTTCTGATGGTCTTAGGCCACCCCTGTGAAAGGGTCGTTCGACCCCCAAAGGGGTCACGACCCACCGGTTGAGAACCGCTGCATAGTGAGTGACATAGCCAGAATTTCAACCTGTTTTTTTCCATGTAGACACAACCTGTTATAACATTATAATCTCTATTTTTGGTTAACCATCTAAGGTTGTTAGGTCTTTCCAGAGATCTTAACATTGTCAATAGGACCAGCTTCATTGTCCAGTGACCTATACCACCACACAGGACCCTATACTCAGAAGGATCTTGTGCTTAGGTTAATGTTGTGCTGTTGGTGCATTAAAATTCCAATAATATTTGCCCTGACCAGTGTTGCTAAGTGATTAGAGCCTTGGCCCTTATAATGAAAGATCTTGGGTTTGATTTCTGGTCAAGGGCAAGTATCTGGGTTGCAGGTCCAATCCTGGGCTCCCTGGGGCCCATGTGGGGGGGGGGAGGGGGGGAAGGGAGAGCAAAGGGGGAGGCAACCAATTGATATCTCTCTCCACTTCCCCCCTCCCTTACACTCTCTCTAGGAATTAATGGAAAAAATATCCTTGAGTGAGGATTAACAAAAATAAAAATAAAATCTCAATATTTTTTAAAGGAAATCTCTATATTTTCATTTTGTACTGAGCTCTAAAATAATACAGCTGGTCCTTCCTGTGAAGGACAACAAGTGAGAATAAAGCTTATAGATAAGAGAAGCTTCCTTGAGGAGACAAAAGGTGGCAAGTCTCAGTGTCAGGGTCACTGGCCATCTGGAATAGAATAAGATTGAGTGCCATAGGCAGGAGATAAAGCCTGGCCCAGTACTAGCAAGCAGTGTTATGGGAAGAAACAATGAGATCTATGCCGTAGGCCCATTTTTGCAAATTGGAAACATGTATATATTTTAGGAATGGGAATATGTCTACAGACACATATTGAACCCATTAGAGCGCCTGTGAGAATGGAAATGTGATGGGGATAGAGAATGAAGGAGCAATAATAAAATAAAGCAATAGAATGGCCAAGCAGGAGATTTATAATGAATTTAAGAGTTTTTGTAACTCCACTTTGGGGGGACAAATTTTTTTAAATAAAGAAAGAAAGGAAGCCCTAGCTGGTTTGGCTCAGTGAATAGAGTGTCGGCCCTCTGACTGAAGGGTCCCAGGTTCGATTCCAGTCAAGGGCATATACCTCAGTTGCAGTCTCAATCCCTGGCCCTGATAAGGGTGAGTGTGGGAGGTAGCCAAACAATGTGTCTCTCTCACATTGTCCCTTCCACTCTCTATAAAAATCAAAATCAATGGGAAAATATCCTCAGGTAGGGATAAATTAATTAATTAATTAATTAAAATAAAATAAAATAAAGATAATGAGTAGATAGATAGGTAAAAGGAAACTGAGTGGTTACCTAAAGTCACCAGAGAATCCTAGAAAGAAATTAAAAGAATGTTTCTTTCGTCTTCACAGTTAAAACGGCTGAATGAACATGAATCAAGCATACCAGGAAGGGTTCTAATGCTGGGAATACCCAGGTGAGGAGACACTGTCTCCACTTTTCAGAAATGTCATTATTTCCTCTTTTGGTCAGTTCTACTCCTTTTGGCCAGCTCTGAAAAGGTGTTTTTTACATTCATGTTGTTTTAAATATAACAAGCACAACCGATATTGTAATCTGAATCCTGTCTTCTTTATGGAACCTGAAAGTTAAAGGGAGTTTTGAGGTCACCTAGGCCCACTTTCCACAGCCTCAGGAAGCTCTTTTATTTCTCAGCTTATGTAAGTTTCCTTCCCTGTAATGACCATGTTGGGTTAGCATTTCTTTCTTATGCAATCACTGTGGATGCATATAACCTCTGGGACAACTCCCCTTAGTCTCTCTTCTCTGTGTTCAACTTTGCTAGGACCTTTAACTCTTGTCATAGACAGACTAGTCTTATCATTATTTTACCTTATTCTGGAACAGCCACCCTCTCCTAACCAACTGCTCAGATCTCATCCATCCGCTCAAACACCACTCTTCTGGAAAGCCATGGTGGATCACCCCAGAACAGAGGGCCACTCCATCCTCTGCATTTACAATGATTCAGGGGCCCCTGCTGCCTTGAATAATCAGTTATCTTGCCATTGGATTATCTAGTGTCCCGAATGATGGCAAGTATCTCAAAACCTTTTTATCAACAAGTCATGTTTGAGTACACATCTCTATTGGGTTGACCCAATCTAAATAGCTATTCAATATTTTTGTAATTTTTAAAGATGGTATTGATATTGGGGGCTCCATTGGCTAAACCACAGTTTGGATGGAAAATCTTATCCCATAAAGAATGTTTCAAGATAAGCAATAAAATGGACTCCCAGCAAAGCAAAGGTATACATTTTTTTAAGAAAATAAATTTATTCTCAAGGAAGACAGAGAGAAATAGTTTTCTCTCTGTTTCTAAAATCAGTTCAGCTAAAAAAAACACCTACTTATTTGATTATGCTTTAATACTCAGCTGATCCATGAGATTTGTAACTGGTTTCTGAGAGGCTTAGGACCCTGAAAGGAATCAGTTGGTTTGTCTGGAACATAATGGTGTTTATCAGGAATTTGTACCTTTTAAAAATAACATTTGCTTAGATATTCACATGGTTTAGCTTCTATACATAATAAAACTGTGTAATCCTATAATATAAATTCAGGATTCATATAATAAAGTATTTTTCAGCTAAAGGTTATTAGGTTATGATAAAGTTAAAAATAAAAAAGCATAACTCTGATATCATGTGTTTCTAGGTTTGTGCAGGAAAAAAATTGAAAGGAAATGTATAAAAATATTAAGAATGGTTATCTTAACAATGGCTATCTTTGGTTTGAATTATTCACTTTTATTTTCCTTATAGTTTAGAAATTTTCTATGATGTACTTTATATAATAAAATATTTATGATTAAAATTTTAATTCTTAAACCTCTTATGTCTGCAACATTGGGATAATGGTGAAAAGAATATCTGTGGTTTTCTATTTATGGATATCAGCACTACAAATGTGGAATGTAGAGAATGATAAAAACTGTGTCCTACTAGAACTGAGATTATATGCTAACAAATATTCTACTCCAACTATCCTCAAGGCTGTATGAAACCATAATCCACAGTTAACAGTGAATATAACCCTAAAGGAGGTCTACATTACGTGAACATGCCATTTTTGTTTATTTGTTTTAAAGGAAGCAACTCCTGTATACAATTGAGGTTGTTTCTTGTTATTATAGTTAAGAATTTTGATAGAATTTTCACTGATAAAACTTGTTTGACATACACAGAATAAATTCCTGTATAATTTTAAAAAGTTTGTAAGTATAGACATTTTTAAAGTACTTAAAAAATCATTAGTCATAAGTCTTTGTAACTGCATCTTTTATCAGTTAAGCAAATATTCAAAGCAAACACTTTGAATGCCTATGCATGCTGCAGTGTTCAAAGAAAAGCAAAAACAAACAAAGGCATCATGATTCCCATAAGGAAACTTCAGTCTAGATCAATGCAATCTACTGCCTTTCCTGCCCCACCTAAATCCCATCCTCCCAAACATGTAATATTTATTTGGTTTGTCTTCCTTATTCTCAACCATTGTCTAGAAATGTTGGCCCATTGTTTTCCAGAGCTTCTTGACTGAGCTGTACCTATAACTACCAGCCACCCAACGCATTGATAATAGAAAGTTCCCTATGCCTGATATTGATTCAAGTATTCACCATTCCCACTCAGTCTACTACAAATAGACATTTGTTTTCTTGCAGATCAAAATGGAGCACCTGGAAAGAACTCTGGAAAGTATTTATAAACCCCACATGTACACAGGAGTCCATTTCCAAACAAGACAATGCAGAACAGTGGTTCTCAACCTTGGCTGCACATTAGAATCACCTGGGAATCTTTTTAAAATCCTGATTTCTGGGCCTCATCCTCCAGAAATTGTTTCTTTGTTATGGGTTGCGGCCACAACATTAGAAACAGAAGAAACATTTCTGGAGGTTGTTGTCCAGAAATCAGGATTTTAAAAAGATTCCCAGGTGATTCTAATGTGCAGCCAAGATTGAGAACCACTGATGCAGAGGGAGCACTGTTATGTGGCTGCTCTGCCCCTCTTGCCTCAGCAATTTCATGGTTCCATTTTGCACATTCGAACACCTGCAAGTGGTTGCCCAGCTGGTAGCCATTAATTTGTGCAAAACCAAAAAATGTGCAGCAAATTAAGGGATTGGGGAAATATAAATGGAAACAGCAAATAAACTATATCTGGAAATCATACTGAGACCTCAATGTAGAAAAACATTTTTTTTAAAAAGCTGGCACAGTAGAGTGGAGTTAGGTAAGACCTGCAATCAAATTCCAACTCTGCTACTGACAAGATATATTACACCAGTAGAGTTACCTTGCTTCTGTAAGCCTCTGCTTTTAGTTTATTTTGATCTGTAAAATGAGAAAAAATAATACCTACTCCTTAGGGGGTTGGCGATAATTTAGATAATGCATCTCTTACACTTAATGCAGTGTCTGACACAGTAATTATTTTAAAAAGATAGTTTTGCTGTAGAAGCTGTTGTTTTGTTCATTATTATTCCAGAAGAACAGGCAGTGGGCAGTGGTATTAGCTAATGCTATCAGAATCGTTCCTATGTAAATAGTGGGTTATTCAAAGAGAGTGTTTAGTGCCTCTCTAAATTACCTGCATGTTTCAATTATTTTTTAATGTGTCTCTTACCTTTGCTTTTATTTTTAGTTCCTCGTGCTTACGGATTAGCTCCTCATTATCTGAAAGTGATGAACCGAGACTTTGTTCCCGTAAATCTCTTATGGTTTTCTGAAACCAACAAGTAACCTAAGTAAAAAGCAACAGAGATAAATTTTCAAATGATTAGAATACTGAGTAAAAATTAAGAAATATTTCCTTAACCTTTCAAAACATAAGCTACGTCAATTTCTCTTTGGATAAACTCATCTCATGTATTAAATAATTATGGTGGAGTTTTTATGTTTTCTTCACTCAACCTCTACATGCTTCAGAGAAAAAATAAAGTAATACCTGAAAAGCATGAAAATAATATATCAGTTCAGATTACATAGCATGAAGACAAGTACGTATTCAAAATCTCCTAACAAAGAAGAACCAAAATAGATTCCCACGCAGTCTCTGAATCATGCATGGTTCCAGAATATAAATCCCTTTCCTGGATAAGAATGTGAATCTGAACACAGTTACATAGACCCACATGAAGGTAATTAACAGCATAACAGCATATGTAGAATTATATTTCTACTATAAAAAGACAATGCAAAAATATTGTTTGGTGCAGTTCCTGGAAATTCGTGTTCCGAAAATAAATGAAGAAATTATTAAAATTCTGTTGACATTATAAATGGGGCATGACTCAGATTCATTTAGATTTGATTTACAATACATACCTTACACTGTTAAAACAACAAACAGCAAAGGACTTAAAAGAAGCAGTACATGCCGAAACCGGTTTGGCTCAGTGGATAGAGCGTCGGCCTGTGGACTGAAAGGTCCCAGGTTCGATTCCGGTCAAAGGCGGGCACATCCCCAGTGGGAGATGTGCAGGAGGCAGCTGATCGATGTTTCTCTCTCATCGATGTTTCTAACTCTCTATCTCTCTCCCTTCCTCTCTGTAAAAATCAATAAAATATATTTAAAAAAAAGAAGCAGTACATTTTTAAATGATGACTTAAGTTGACATTGAACTGATGACATGAAGTATCTGGCTGCAGATTCTTTATCCAAATGAAAGGAAAGAGACTTGGATTTTTACTCTTAAATCCTATACAGTGTGGTTGCATGATCACATCATTGCTACTGATTCCTAAGAGCCCACTACATGCTAGACAGTTTGCTAGTTGCTTTTGGGGCATCACCTCTATTTCCCTCAACAACTCTATAACAAGTATGATATCATCATTTTAGAGATGAGGAGAGCTTAAGCAGCTTATCCAGGGCCATATAGTAAGTGACAGAACCAGGATTCGTCCCCAAGCTTTCAAAGTCCATGCTCTTTCCACCATGCCCTGCTGCTATCCTTGGCTACACGAAAGTCTTATAATCATGGGTATGAGGGGGAATTACTTCAAACCTGAAAAATTAATCCTGACAGTCCATTCAAAATGGTGGACACTACACTATGCTTTCCTCTAGCCTAGCCAGTGGTCGGCAAACTGCGGCTCGTGAGCCACATGCGGCTCTTTGGACCCTTGAGTGTGGCTCTTCCACAAAATACCAACGTCTGTGCATGGGCCACGAAGTTTCAATCGCACTGTACGTGCGCGCCCGCACGTAGTATTTTGTGGAAGAGCCACACTCAAGGGGCCAAAGAGCCGCATGTGGCTTGCCAGCCGCAGTTTGCCAACCACTGGCCTAGGCTATCTTGTCTACAACAGCCTCAGGATTTATTTGACCTCCTATAATATGGACAAATGTTTGAAGCAGGTGGCCAAGGAGAAAACTAGGTTAGTCATGGAGCTCCACACAATATGTACACACACACACACACACACACACACACACACACCACAGAAGTTGAGTTAGTGGTTATCTAGAATAGAACATTCCATTACCATTACAGGGCTGATACCACAAAGCTGGTTATGAAATCAAAGGGTCTATACTAATGCCTGGCATTTCTCAGAATGGAATAGGCAGTAAAATATGGGGTAAGAGGGCTTCTCTGGCTTCCTTCTAATTGGAAATCTTTGTTAGCCATCATTTTAGGCTGCCATCAATGCAAAGAAAAGAATAATGGTGATACTGTAGCAGTTTTCATGTGAAATGCACCTCATTTTCTTCATAATATTTGGTAAGCTGTTTATAATACAAACATTAGTCAGTCCCCATATCTAAATGTAATGTTTATGTATTACAACTATCTGAAGATAGTCTGTCTTTCTGGTATCCCAGTTAGAAATAGATAGTCTGTATAGTGTGCACATTAGAACACACAGAGTACTTTATCAAGAGCTATAACATTTATTCATTTATTTAATTTTATACAAATAATTTCTCACAAAAGATGCAGTGAGCCCATATAAAAACACAACTAGAACAATGATTTAAGGGTTTCATCAAAGAAAAATGAATCATGACTATAACCAGCTTTCAGAGATCATTTAATTTATTAAGTATTGGGAGTAAGTTTTATTTATTCTTAGCTCAGGGGAGAGTAACTCTGAAATCTCAAGAATGCTTCAATAGAGAAAGTTAATATAGAATCTGAGTGAATAAAGTGGGTACAAACAGGTGTTCGTTAATCTCTAAAAACAGGTGAGAAGCCTGAACCCTCAGTAAACCTATTTAATTTTGTGAGTCAAAGACTTGTCATCTAGCACATGTCAGTGGCGATGAAAGCAGGAAAGGAATGAGTTGTTTGATTTTTAAAAGGTATCTACTGACCTCATCCCTACATTTGGCAAATACTATTTCAATCCCCAAAGCATACTATTCCTGTATGGCAATACTGTTCCCTACAAGAGAATGCAGTTAAAGGTCTGTGGTGATATTCCATATATCCTGATCACATACCTGCCTGATGAAGCAAACTGACTCTCTAGATCTACACATTTTTACTACTGAATGCACTCTGGGGAGAGACGTATAAAAACAAGTTGGCATAAAACTCAGAATTAAGTAGTTCGCTGTGTGGGTGTTACAGCTCAGTGAGGCATTCACACACATGTTCAGCCTCTTAGATTAGATTTACTACGTGTGCCACGGGACGCATGCAGAACAGGCTCTCAGAGTCCTTCTTGTAAAAGCACAACACCCTAAATAACTAAGAGCTTGTCAACCATAATATTCTGCCACCCCGTAAATCAGTCGTTGTGCCCTGCGCGTACCTATTGCAGACAGCTGCACAGATATTCCAAGAGCACTTTTTCTAAGGGTGTAAATTATATCAGCTGCTGAGTGGTAAGTACAGTAAGTGATGCATCAGGACATTCTATAGAACATGGTCCCTGCAAAGGATAAAAACATGAGCCAAGGGTTGGTGGAAAGAAAAGAACAAAAAGCATCCAGAGTATGCACTGCAAATCAGTTCAAGGGAATGATAGTGTAAGGGGGAAGTAAGAACATTTTTCCTCTCTCTCCAGTTCCCACCTTTCAGCTTGACGTAAGTGTTGTGTTCATGGTCATTGCACTGATTTGACATGACACTAGATCCTCAGTGCCCAGAGCAGGTAGAACTAAGGTAGAGAAGGAGTGGGGCAGATCTTTTTTACAGGGGAAGGGGACCACCTATCTGAGGATGAAGAAGACAGAGAGAAAGGAAAGGAAAAGAAAATCAGCAAAGATGCAAAGAAGAAGCAATCAGAGGTGTTCAATGAAAACCAAGAGCTATCTTGGATATTAGAGGGTGCCAGAAAAACTCAGTCAAATGGTGTAGACCTGCACTGTCCTATGTGGTAGCCAATAAGCACATATGGCTATTGAGTGCTTAGAATGTGACAAGTCCAAATTGAAATGTACTCTAAGTATAAAATACACAGCAGATTTCATAGTCATAGTTTTAAAAATTAATAAACATACCTCATTAAGAATATTCATATTGATTAAATGTTGAAATACTATTTTGGATATGTTGGATTAAACACAATATATTATTGCTTTTTTATGAGGCTTTTAAACTTTTTTATGTTTCTTTTTCACTTTTTTAATGTGGCTACTACAACTTTTTGTTGTTGTTGTTAATCCTTACCCGAGGATATTTTCCCATTGATTTTTAGAGAGAGTGGAAGGGAGAGAGAGAAACATCTATGTGAGAGAGATATATCAATTGGTTGCCTCCTGCATGCGCCCTGACTGGGGCCAGGGATGGAGCCTGCAACCGAAGTATGTGCCCTTAACTGGAATTGAACCTGCTACCCTTCAGTCTGCAGGCTGATGCTCCCTCCACTGAGCCAAACTTGCTAGGGCCTGGCTACTACAACTTTTAAAATCACTTATGTGGCCCTGGCCAGGTGGCTCAGTTGGTTGGAGCATCGTCCTGTACACCAAAAGAATGCAGGTTATATTCCCAGTAAGGGCACATACGTAGGTTGAGGGTTTGATCCCTGGTTGGGCATGTATAGGAGGCAGCTGATGTTTCTCTTTCACATCAATGTTTCTCTCTCTCTCTCTCTCTCTCTCTCTCTCTCTCTCTCTCTTTCTCTCTCTTTTCCTCTCACTATAAAAAAAATCAATTTTAAAAAAACCATATCCTCAGGTGAGGATTTAAAGATAAATTGATATATAGATAAATAAATAAATAAAATCACATACATGGCTTGCATTATATTTTTATCAGATGGTTCTACAACTCAAGGATTTTGAAAATATCCTTATTTGTAGATCTAATGACTGAGTTTTAATTAGAGGCTATTTAAAATAGTGAAATCAGGAAAATAGTAGGATGAAGCATTGGTTGGTAAGCATGTATGGACCACTGGGTAGGGGTACTGAAGTTCAGCTAATGACTCTTCCAAAGAAGTTTATTGGCTAAGTAAAAGAAGGATCAGGTGATAGCTTTAAGGAAAGCAGGAGTACCAAAGAGGCTTCTCCCACCTTTTTAAAAAAATTTGAGACATAAGCATTTTTTGCAAGAACTGAAGATTCATGAAGGAGGATTGATGTAGGAATGTTCCAGAATGTGAAGGTTGGAAGTGAGCACTACTGAAAGTAGCTTTGGGCCAGAAAGACTAGTCTTTGCTTGTTGAATAACCCATCCCCACACTGACCCCGTAGCTGGGAGATAAGAATAAAGAAAGTAAAGTAAAAAACCCTACTTTCACAGAGAGATGTCAGGTACTACTCTAGGCAGGTTACAAGTGACCTTA